TATATATATATATATATATACGAAGATCAGAAAAATGTTTTCCAAATGACAATAGCCAATTAGAGAAACATGCGATGTCGGTCGAATCTGATTCTATCAGAGATAAATGCATGAGAATATGCGCGAATAAGCGCTATATTTGTCTGCTTTGTTTCGTTAGATGGCATCTCTCGAACGCATCGATGCGAATAACGAAGCACCCTTAATTCAGCCTCGTAATTAATTATACTCTCGTTGTTGCCGTAGCGAGAATGTCCGATGGTGATTTGAAAAATTTTGTTATAACTCACACCGACATGCTCGTGAACGTTTCTCGTGCACGTATTCATTGCTGCACACACATAACTCATCGTAATCATAGTTCAGCTTCATCGCTCTTATGATTATTTGGATTCGCGCGTGGCGTGTGTCGCGACAGTCTATCGGATTATCTCGTATCAGTGGCAATTTGAACTAACTAATTTATCGACAGCCTCGATACACACACACACACACATACACGCGCGCGCGCGCATTGATTTCGAGTCAACTACTAGATAGACATAGCTGCATCAACTCACCCGTATGCGTCCTTTGATGAGCCTTTAGATGCGAGCTCTTGGTGTACACCTTCTTGCATCCGGGGAATTGGCATTTGTGTATCCTGCGTTTCGTGTCGGGCGGACTGTGCTCATTGCTCCTCGCGTGGTGCCTGTTGGCCACAGTGGTCGTGGTTGCAGTTGTGCCTGCGTGCGCGTGTTGCGTGCCGGCTACCGCGGGGAAGCCGTTCGCCGTGACGGAGATCAGTCTGGAAAAATACGATGCTTCCTCTCATTGGTTGTATTTTAGCCACGTTGTAATTAGTCCGTCGCGCGCTGTCGAGGCGCGACATCCGTGAAACGGACCCCATGCGTGTCACGGTTTACCAGCCTCGACGAGTTAATGCGCGCGAAATAGCAAGAGTAGCGTGATCGGTAGACTGTTGAGTAATCGGTGCACGTCTCGTGCTTCAAAAGAAACGCGAGCGAATCGAGAAGAGCGCAATTCCGGCAACGGGTTAATGATGGATCGCGAGAGCGAATTGTTTTAAGTTTCTTACTCTGATGTAGCGAGAACGTTCCGAGGTTATTTCCCAACGTCAACTTTTTTTAACGAGCCCGTGTCTCTTTTTTTGTAAATTCCGTAGAAAATTACCAGGAACGAATTGGATGGGATAAGTTAACCCAGAAAGTACGACCACTTTAAGTCAGGGAACGCCAGTTACAGTTAATCAAGATAATTTCTGAGCGAGACATAACTATACGGCACATCCGTCTTTCGTAGAGTAAGTATCGCGTTAGTCGCTTGCCTCTTTCAATTCTAAAGGCAATTAAGTTTTCATTACCCAAGAATAGCAACAATGAAAGAACGTCAAAGAGGAACCGCTGGTGTCTCTTTTATCATGGGACCGATCTTTTATTATGGGACCTTTTAACGCGGGAAAAGAAGCGTGTACGCATGATATCATTCGGAGAAAAAAATACATGAATTTTATGTATAACACTTACCTTGCAACACCCTGCGCGTTTCCGGCGGTAACCCTGACGATAGCACTCCTCCCGCCCGTGCCGTGGAGGTTGAGGTTGTGCACGTCGAGCATCGAACTTCCACTCGACGAGTGACTGGAGTTGGAATGACCTTGACCCGAACCGGGACTCGACGGCGGCGTTAGAATCTGACCTTCGCTTTCGCACCCGCTGTCCTCCTCCTCTTCGATTTCCTGCAGCAGTAAAACCACGCGCATTATGCAACGAGATTACGATTAATAACGTAACGGGATTGATTGCACGGTCCGTGAATCGCTGTCGGGAATCGTATCGGACTCGGACTGGTTACGGCAGACAAATAAACCGATGAGAATCGAATCGTGATCGCACGATCTAACTCATTACGTCCAGGTTGGTTGCATCAATGCAACATCGCCCATCATATTGAATCAGAAATTGCTTTTGCGAGAGAGTTACTTCAGTTGGATTAAAAAGCTAATTGGAAAGATGTCTTCAAACTATATATTTACAATAAATATATCGAAATCTTTTATGTAATCTCCGTGAATTTCTCAAACTTCTCATGCATAAAATTAACATTTAAAGTTTAAAAAAGTTGATGAGATTTAAAAAAATATTTTCACAAAATAAAAAGCGATAATAATTTTTAGAACAAAAATTTCCATCTCAGAATTTTTCAAAAATATTCTAACTTGTTACAAAACAGCAAACATGTAAAAGAATATTTTTATCTTCTATAAATTCATTTGTAATTAATTATTTTTCTAATCGAGTGCAAGTTTTTAATTACTGTTAATTTTAAGTAAAATTTATTGTTTGAAATCGCTTAATATACCTCGTGTTCCTCATCTTCCTCAAGGTCTTCACTCGGCTCTTTTTTAAGAATGAGCGCCGTGCAAGAGAGGGAAGGTGAACTGTCCCAGGACAGTGCTGAACACGCCGAACTCGCCGAGGACATCGATAAAGAATCGAGGTGACGATCGAGGAGATCCCTATCGCGTCCACTGTCATTATGATCACCAGGACTGAATTTAATATCGTCCAGACAAAGAGGATCTCTTTCGTCTGACGACGTCGTCACCTGATTTACAAAAAAGTATTTTAATTTCTTAAAATAATATTTTTATATTAAAATATAATATTAAAATGTTCTAATAATATTAAAAAATAAATATCCTTTCTTTCTCATGAATCGAAGAAGGAGATAATAAAATTATCAGCATTATAAAAATAATGTATATAAACGAAAAAAAAGAAAGATTATTTATATAATATTAGAAAGAGAAAGATTCTCTCTAGGAAACTTTGATATTAATAGGCAAACTAATGGTTTGTAAATATCGGCATAATCTAGTTACATACCTCCATTTTGATTGGGGGATCGAATTGTGCATTCGTTCCAGTGGATGTCGTCCACGAGATCGATGGTGCCCTGAAGAGGTTCCAGGGCGCTGTGTCCAATTCCGTGGGGAGTTTTTTGTACGATTGTAGCTTCGGCTCGTCCTTCAGGTACCTCTCCATCTCGTAGCATGTCTGAAAGAGGAAACGAGAGCTTGTTAAAGACTGAAGCGACTTAAGTATCCCGCCAAGCCGCTCACGCAGAAATGGTGGCAATGGGCGGTTCTGTGGCTTAAATTTAATAGCCATAAAAGAGAGGAGAGGAAAGAAAACCAATTACGATCAGATGATATATATTGCTTTAATAATGAATTAATTGGCTCTTCACACTTCTATATAGAATACTTAATAAATGTTTGATGAAAAATTTGTCAGAGTTCTGTGCAAGAAAAAGTATAACGGGTCGTCAGAATAATGTAATTTGACAAGTTTATAAGTTATTAGGACATTCAAATAGTGATATTACATCAACTTTAATCACATATAATTAAATCTTATAAATTATTTTAATAAAAATCAGTAATAAAAATCGAGCATACGAAAATATTTCGAATAGATGAATCACTTAATCTAAAATCAAAAAGTGAAATAGTTTTTTTTACAATATATTTAATCTACTTGTATAGACGCTTGTTTGCGACGATTGCGAAGTAAGCCCCAAATGCTGTAGAAATTATCTTTAGGAGTCAAGCATCTCATATGGGAAGGTACATCGCCGTCAACGCAACTACTCGCGAGTTTGCAAAGTTGATGCTCTCCCGTAGGCTGTGTCAGTTTGGTACAGTTCCTTGGAGAGAGTACAAAGTTATGCTACTCACTGCGAGGAATTATGCACCAACTATACCACACAAATGAGATTATAGCACCCCCCGTTCTGGTTAAGTCTCCTTCGGGTCCTTCGTCCTGTCGACTTCTCTTTGAACGCTTCGCATAGTAAATAAACATGAAATAATAGCTGCGCCATAATATAGCTTGCTATTTTAATACGTATTACGTACGTAAGTTTTAAACACTAACAATATTATGAAACAACGGTCTGTTCAGCTTTGCGAGAATTCGATTATCGATTCTTGCAGGAATTACGATTAAAATTGTCCATTTTCACTTAAACGCCATTGTTTCCACTTACTTTAATGAAATTCTTTACATTGTTACAGTCAAAGAAAATGTAATAAGATACAGTTAATGTGAACAAAAGGCAGACAATTGACGGAAAAATAAGAAACGTTTAATGTACAATTTCGTATATTCCCTTTTTTTAATTAAATTGCATGCAATTTTATTATTTTCTAATACTTTTACATTTATATATAAATGATATTTATATTTTTCTTTCGTACAGTTTTATAACTTATTTCTTCTTATTATTGTTATATTCATGTGATACTATCATATCATTATCGAGATCAACAACAAGTATTAATTATATATAATTGAATACAGTATTCTGTGGGAGTAAATTATGCCAATGTTGAACAGTCATATTATTCTTCTTTCCGCCTGCGGGCTAAAAATGATAGCTGACGCAAGCATTCTTTGTGCACTTTGATATCTTCCTTCGGGCATTGTCTGCCAATTTATTATTCGCCCTAACGGTTACCATCAGGAGCGGTGGTTCTGTCTGATGCTATTACAAATGAAGCTATTCGACTTTTATAAAGCTACTTTAAGAAGGTTTGTTACATACCGACGCTGGTAGCGGCATAATATGATGCATCGAGAAATATGTTCTTAATGGTATGTCATCACACGCCTTAATAAACTGCCTCTTTGCAGCAGACAATTAAATTACGGTAGTGTCCACTTCAGCTTTTTAAAAACAAAATTTAAAAGTAAAACGCCTACAGCCTTATTTTATGTCAAGTCTCCGATTAAAAAGTGTGCGGGAACTAAGTGAATTAGGAAATACTGTTTTTCGCGGTGAGTGAATCGGCTTTTGAAACCGTAGTATAAAATTAAAGAAGGAAGTGTGCAAGGCTTCCTTAGTTATCTTTAATACCGTAATTTACGATAAGTACGTCTAGAATCAAACAACGAGCAAGAAGTCAAGTCTATTTTCCCGTCTGACAAAGATTCTTCGGGAACTGCAAAAAATGGCTTCGCGCCGAAGTTCGAGGGCTGCGTCTAATGCCGTCGGTCCCTTCTGCGAGAAAAATAATCGCCGCCGGGCTCCTTCATTATTCACGATTAAAGTTCGTCCGGAGGCACCGTGGGTACGACTAACGGCGTTAATATAACTTGGAAAGGAATTTTATCACTCGCTTAGGGACCGTTTCTCCTTCCCTGGGGCTTGCTCCAGCATCAACTGAACTTTACTAATCCTGACCTCCGAGGCACAGCTCTATATATAGACGACTATCCGATCTATCCGTCGATTTAATCTGTCAGAAAATCTTCGAGGACAACAACGTTAATCGACGTTGCAAATAGAACGATATTAATGTGTTCGAAAACCATGTGAATATTGATTGATAATTAGTAATTGATTCTAATTAGTAATTAAAGACGTTTAATGTTTCAATAAATTAAATATTTTAAATATATATCTTTTAATAAAATAATTAAAGTTAACAAGGTAAACGAAAAACTAGAAAGAAAAATATAAAGTTTTATAAAACGTAGGAAAACGAAAAGGAAACCTATGTCTCTGTTAAATGGATTCATTATTGAAATAAAAAGATAAAGGAAATATTTTAGATTAATATTGAGAATAATGAGATAATGAAAAATAGATGCTTGTGAATAGAAAAATAATGAAAACTCTTTGATTATTCAGTTTCAAAGCAAATGTAAGTTAATATTTGATAATCATTATGATAACCTTTATACTTAATGAAAACAAAAGCATTTGCAAACTCATGCTTAAATAATTTGTGAACAATATCAAAATTTCATCATTTTTGTTATGATATAATGTACAATATTATACAATAATATACAATAATATTGATTCTACAGCACCGTAACTCGTTAAACAGGAAGCAAATGCATTTACAAGGCTACGTACAACTCGCTTTCGGGGAAATGGAGTTCAATCTTTCGCAGTTTTTAGATTATTCCGGGAAGGTGGATGGTTTCGCGGAAGATATTTTAATTTTCTTTGTTTCTCCCTGTAACGTAAACCCGGCTCTCTCAGCTCTACTTAGAAGTGCGCTGCGCGAAGGAATTGCCTGGAAAAATAACCGGGAGCTTTCCGGTTAAGCGCACACCCGTAGCTTTACGACTTCGCAGAGACGAGCCGAAGCGCGTTCTTTCGCTATTGGCTGCGTTAAATCCAAAACTGCGTAATAATTTAGAAACTCACGGTGGTGTCCGTCTGTGTGTCCGCGGTCGATCACAATAGTCACACTAACGTTTTCCGCCGGAGTGCCCTATAAGCATTCGAATTGCAGAATTCTCTATTACGCTTTTCGCGATGAGCCCGCAGGCCATTCGTCCGCAGATTTATGCGACCCTTCGCCGCTCTCTTCGTCATTGCCATGGAATTCCACCAGCGGAATTATACAGTTTGAGAACTTGTTCGCTCATTTCATGTACACGACTATTTTAAATACAGGAACATCGTCGCTTCATTTTCACGTGCAATTTTGTTCGAGTTTTCGATTACATATAACTTAATTAAGTGTGAGAGTCGTGACATACTCAATATTGATAAACTGATTTAGATGCACTCAAAGTTGTCACCAATTTCTACGAGTGACATTCCTCTCGTGAGATCTGAGCAAACACTCGGTGAGTGCGAATTTTTTTTTTACGATGTTTACTTTCTTTTAGCTGACGAAGGGATCGTCGCTGCGAGGACAACGGCAATAAAAAAATTCCACGGATCGATAGGCCGAATGCTGGATGAAAAAGAACGATGAAAGGAGACCGTCTTGCCATTATGTTTTTATAGGTAAACCTGTAAGCCATTTGCAGCGAATTTATGAGGTTCCAGCAATTCCGCTGCATCACATACGCTATCAGCGAAAACATTCTCGTTGCTCAAACATTGCATCAGATATTAAAGTGTAATTATTCAAATAGGATAATATTTTAAGTGTGATAAAAATATGAGCAAGTTTCAGACTTTTTACAGATATCAATACTTACTTATTACATTAATAATAATATTATTATTATATATAATATGCATCAAATATTATACTGTAAGGACTAAATAACACTCAATATATTTTTCTTAAAATTAATTGTGAAGCGTATATTATATTATTGACACATTTATTATTAAAATAGCTTTAGATTTAAGCACATTAATTATAACATCAAATTTAACATCAAATTTAACATCAATCAATGTTATTGTTCACATAAATCCTTAATAATAATCATAAAAATTCATATATAGAAATCGTACAAAACTCTGATTTTACAGGAAATACAATTTGATTTTCTGATGACCTAGTTGCAATTACGTCTCGTTCGGTATCACGTAATGTTGTGATATCAAAGGACATTGCGGATTTTTATTTCCCAAGGAACCACGGGGACTTTTTACATTCGACCAACGAGGTCATATCTAAAAGGGAAAACGTCTTCGTCGGGCTCAATGGGCGCAGAAACAGTTCGGAGATAATGGTCACTCTCTACGACCGATAAGACCGTTCTTAATGATAACGGCGTCATTTCAGAGTTTGTGTAGGATAGAGCTCGATTCGTCGGTGGGCTATCACATTGGACAAACAGTAAGAAGAAAAAAAAAAGAAAGAGAAAAGAAAATCGACTGAATCGTGGAGCGGAGCGCGAAATCAGAATGGACAAAGAGGACATCGAGAACTCCATCTTGGATTCTTAAAATCTCTTATCGTAACCCGTTCGTAGATCTCTAAAAGCCGGACTCTTCTCTCTAGATGCTAGCTGTCATCTTCTTGTTCTCTCTATCTTCTTCGCTTTTTATCTCCTAACTGTAGTTTACGCAAACTCAAATTTCGCATTACTCAACCCCGCTTCGACAATAACGAGACCGGAATCCGTTGGATCTGGCGTACAATAAAATAAAGTATTTTCAAGGAGCCATGTGCTTTTTTGAAGCAGGCTTCGAACGTTGAGAACGCAGTTGGTGAGAGCTTCGACGGTGGGAAATGCTAAGAGAAAGGAAGTGAGAAGAGAAAGCGAGCCACCCCCGAAAAGAAAGA